AGTGAATTGAATAGAATCAAATTAAATTGAATCAAATCAAATCAAATTAAATTGAATCAAATTGAATCAAATCAAATGGAATCAAATCAAATTGAATTGAATCAAATAGAATCAAATCAAATCAAATTGAATTGAATTTAATCGAATGGAATTGAATGGAATCGAATTTAATTAAATTGAATTAAATTGAATTAAATTAAATAGAATAGAATAGAATTAAATTAAATTAAATAAAATCAAATTGAATTGAATTGATTTAAATAGAATAGAATAGAATTGAATTGAATTAAATAGAATCGAATCGAATTGAATTGAATTAAATAGAATCGAATCGAATTGAATTAAATAGAATCGAATCGAATCGAATTGAATTAAATAGAATCGAATCGAATTGAATTAAATAGAATCGAATCGAATAGAATTGAATCGAATTAATTTTATTCGATTCGATTCGATTCCAATTCTATTTTAAATTTGAATCGAATCGAATCATTAGGATCTTTAGATAGGACCAAGTGTGATTCAAGAACTCGAAGGAATACTGGGAAGAAGACCACCTGGAACCATAGGAGTAATCGTGGCCCCGGTGAGAAATTGGTATACAAAGGGTGCGATGAAGGAAAGATGTACATCAAAATATGATATATTGTTGACGAGTATAGAAGATTTGTGTATAGATTTTGTTGATTTTATAGAGGGGATAGATACGTTCAGATTTTCATATAAAATATTTAAAATTTCATTTACTCTAGGGATAATTCTGTATATAATGTTTAATAAATTTTATAATTATAAATAGGATGTAATTTGAATGTAAAGTATTAAAAAAAAAAGATGACGATACCATCTCTAAAATTCTTGGGGAGAAAGATGTATGATGAGGATCGATATATCAAATTTTTGTTTAAGAAAGGAATTATATTGAAACCTCATGAATGTTCGTTGTGCAATTCTTCGATGAAATATTATAGAAAATTTTTTGTATGTGATAATCGACAATGTCGAAAGTGGACTTCTATTTTTAGAAATATATTCTTTACGAGAAGTCGTCTTCAGTGCTCGGATGTAATGCTCATTGGATATTATTGATTGTGTGGTGTAACGTATACGGTAATCTTGAATGTGACGGGATATGCTTCTCTCACGATTTCAAATTACATGAGATATTTTCATGACTTGGTGATTGAAACATTGAATAATGATGATTTGATGATCGGTGGAGATGGAATTGTCGTGGAGATAGATGAATCAAAATTTTGTAAAGGAAAAGATACTGATGGAATTTGGGTGGTTGGTGGTGTTGAGCGAACAGAGAAACGAAAATGTTTCTTTGTGGTGGTTGATCGGAGGGATGCAGAAACGATTAGAAGTATTGTGTCAAAACACATTAAACCAGGTTCCATAGTTGCAACTGATTGTTGGCGAGGTTATCAAAATCTTGAAGATTTTGATATAATACATGAGAAGATAAATCGATCGATATCATTTGTAAATATGAATGGGACACATACAAATACGATTGAGGGAACTTGGCAGGGATTGAAGATACGGATTCAACCTCGACATAGAGGTACTGAATCAATTGAGAAATATTTGTTAGAATTTATTTGGCGACGAAAGCATGAGAATGATTTATGGCAAGGGTTACTTGACGCCTTGCGTACGATTAAATACAAGTGACATCAAATAATAAATTATGTCATTTTATTTTATAATTATATATCATTTCGTGATGTTAATTTATAAGTTTCAAATATTGGTCACAAATATCATGATGTTAAGTTCCTCAGATATCGGTTGCATCATTATAAAATATCATGATTTAAGTGTCATTATTAAATCATGAAATATTACATTTCATCACTTATTTTTGTGTTATAAATATCTCGTTTATTGTTTTATGTTTGTATTGGATTTATCTCCCAATTTTTAATCATGTGAGTTTATCCTGGCATATATGTTCGAAATTTTCGAGAAGAATTTTTTTTTACTGATTTTATTATCAATGCTCCTCGAGAATGAATTATGGTGCCGATGACCAAGATCAGAATTATGTTCGTGATGATGGTGCCGATGACCAAAATCAGAATTATGTTCGCGATGATGGTGCCGATGACCAATATCAGAATTATGTTCGCAATGATGGTGCCGATGACCAAGATCAGAATTATGCTCGTGATGCTCCTCGCGGTTCTCCACCTATTCGCCAGATTCTCGATATTCCTCCTGCTCGTTTACCCAATATTCATAATGTTGTCCGTCCTCCCATTGTTCAAAATATTCAGAATATCCGTGATTTCCGAAATCAGGAAGATGATGAAATTTTCTTTCGCTTAGCGCTTCGTCCTGTTGGTGAGATGTCTAATAGTCAATTGAGAGATGAACTTACTATCCTTCACAATGGTATCTCCCAACTTCGCAAAAGAGTTGATATTATTTCCGAGGAAAAGTCAGCTCGTCGTTCTGAAGAACTTGCTCGCAAACGTCATCGTCTTCGCATCCAATTAGAATTATCAGATAAAGGAGATGGTGAAATCAAAAGAATGTTGTATGTATTGTTGTATCGTTTTGTGTTATTTGTATTATACTCTTCACATCATCACTTTACTAATTTAATTCTTTATTTTAGTAATTTCTAAATGTTAGAATTTATCTGGCAATATGGGTTACTTGATGGCTTGTATATAGTCAGATACACGTGATATCAAATAATAAATTATATAATGAGTGAATTGATGATTTTTATTTCTATCGTGTAATGAAATTTTCAGCTGAAATTATATCTCGAATATTTAATCATGTTGATGATCCAAAAGATTTTCAAATCCTCTCGAGAGTTTCAAAGGAATGGAAACATGTTCTTGACCATCATCCATTTTGGGAATATCTTATACGAGATTTGAAACTTCCAGGACCGAAGAAAAAAGCAATCAAATATGAAACACACAAATCAATTTTTATTAAACACATCAATATATTGTGTCGCTGTAAGAGAGGTTATAAAAAAAATCAATCGAAAATTTGGGATCGGATTGGTATTCTTCATGATTTTTGTCTTGATAAACATATCTTCTTTAACGGATCAAGAAATTATTGTTTTTTTCAGCATAAAACTCTTGGTAGATATATATGTGATGGGTTTAATGAAATTGTTGCACATTGTAATGATGAAATGTGTGATGAGAAGTGTAAAAAAAAATATTGGAGTCGTTAATAGATTTTAGGAATAGAATTTATAAACAGCGAAGAGATCTTGAAAAATTTTGTGTGTTCGAGAAATATTTTATTGAAGAATATTTTAACGTGGTGATTACAAATTTATATAAGATAATTTGAGATGAAACTATATATATTGAAATGTATAATCGCAATTGTCATAAGCACTATTATAAGATTAAATAAAATCTTTTAACAATTAATCCTAAGAAGAAGATTTATAACACAGATTAAGTTTTGGATGAATGTTAAAATTGGTAAGTAATAATTATTGAGGCAACGTCGCATGTGCAGTTTCTTACTTTTACAAATGATGAATAAAGATCTTGTAAAAATAAAGGTACATATTTGATTGTGAAATTACCCTGGTGATTATATTTGCCACCGGGTCAATTGGATAGATAAGTTTTCATTTTGAAAAAAAAAATAAAGTAAAGTTGATGTATTTATATTTTTGACGTAAGATGTGTGTGTATGGTATTATATTTATAAATATTGAGTAAAATTTTGTAAGAAACAAGGCCAACGGCCGGGTGGGATCTGGTGGCATTAGCCCAGGTCCAAGTCACTTTTTGGGAGATATGGCACGACAGAGCCAGCCATATCGAAAAAGTATTACCATGTAATGGTTAAAAAAGTGACAAACCCTCAAGAAGTTTTTCTCAAGAGTATAAGCCTTGAATATAGAGTATTAAGATTGAGATAAAATTTTTTGTATAACAAGGAAAGGTATTTGATAGTTGAGTCTAATTGATTTATTAATATTTGTGAATGAATTGTTAGATAGGGTAGCTTCTAAAGAGTGGTTTGGGTTGGGCTCTTCTGTCATAATTAAATAAGTGTTGAGAGGAAAGTCAATTTTGACTTAGGTGACTCGGGTTCAGTGATGAAATCTTGCAAAAGTTTGTTGAAGTGAAAGTAGGTACCAAGGATTTTAATTTTTTTGTTAAGTTGAGGGTTATCCAATAGTGATACTGATAATTGGATATTTTTGTCAGCTAGAATTTTATTTGTTTCATTTATATCAGGAAGTATTGATAAGAGGTGTGATCCATTCTCTTGGTATTGCACCTGTGTAGTTGTTTTTAATCTTGGTAATCATTTGTCTAAAGTCAGGAGAGTTTCTATCGAGTTGTTCTTTATTGATATTAAGTTCTTGTTCTACTGTACTTAGTTTGGCTAGGAGCTTTGGCTTGTCAGATTGGATTAGATTTCATGGATCCATTCAGGTTCCAATAGAGGTTTTATAAAGTATTTTGACTTGAGGTCCTTTATAAGTTCGTCTGCTTCGTCTTGTATAGTAATAGGCAGAAGAATAGCATTATTTTCACCATACCAATGTAAGGAAGAGAGAGGATGCTTTACCATCATGTAATCTAGTGGTAAGTGTTTAACTGCATAGTTATTATTTCTTAGAAGATTGACTTTTTTTTTGAAACTCTTGATGCTGTTGTCTATTGAAAATTGTTTTGCTAATGAAGATATAGATTCCTGTAAGAGGATGGAAGAGTTAATTTCAGTGGTAGAAGATTAAAATATGTGTCAGGAAGTTTTCCAGGCACATAGTAGCCTTCTTTAAGTTTTTCTACATGTATTTTGAGATCTAGTAGCTCTTCTCTTTCTGTTAGTAGAAATTTGTGTTTCCCCATAGGTGCAAAATCACTTGGGTCAAGAGATAGATCAAGTTTTTTGGCAAAATAGGTTGTTAGAAGAAGTTCGAAGTTATAGAAGGCTCTAAGACTTCCTGTAATCTTGTTTGTATTTTTTGTGGAAGTAATTGATATGGCTTTTGGAAATTACACTTTTATTGATTTGAAGATGTCAGCTGAGTTTTCTGGAAGATTAGGGAGGTTTTCATTGATTATTTTTTTACAGTTTTCATAAATTTCGTTGTAGTCAATTTTTTCTAGACTGGTATCCATAAAGAGATTGAAACTATACTCCAGAAGTTGTGCGACTTGCCAATACTTGAGAAGAGTCAGGTTTGTCGACTTGGGATATGCTATAAAAAGGACCTTGTTAATGATTATTCTGATTTTTTTTCTGGTAGTTCTGGTGATGTAATCCATGTTATTTGCTTTTAAATAGTTGCTGTGAAATTCTTTTTCCACTTTTTTGTATTTTTGTTGATATTGTCTCTTGATTGACTTGTCTCTTGCAAAGGTTCTAAAGAAATCATGGTCTCTGTACTTAATTTTGAAGAAGATTCCTTTTAGTAAGATTCTTGGTATTTCAATTAGTTGGTTTTCATTTTGATGAAGAGTTCTACTATGGACTTAGCTGTCCTTTCACACTGATTGATTTTATCACACAATTCTAGAATTTTATCTTGTTCATTTAGTTTTGAAATACTTCTGATATCTGCTGTGTTGCGGGAGGGATTACTGCTGCTCACTTCAAGGTGTTGATTAGTTTCATCAGTCTATAATATGGAGAATGATTCTATGGTGTCATCTGATTGGTTGGAGAAGTGATGCTCATTAATTTCCATACTAATATAGGTTAATTGTGTGTTCTGTGAGTCTATATGTTAGAATTCGTTAGTGAAATGATCTGTATACACCTGCAGGTGATGCTCGTGTTTGCTTGAGGGCTGGATTGATTGGTGTTACACTCAAGGTGGGTGCATGTGTTGTGTCATTACAATCAAGTTGCATACTATTATTGATGTTGATGATTTTTCCAGTTAAGGCTGAAGTGTTTGGAGAATATATGGATATTTCAGTTTTTTACTTCAGAGAAAAAGTTTTGGCTACTTCGTCGATATTTATATCAATTTTATTCCAGGAAACATGGAGTCTATATGTGAGTTTTTTTTGAGAAGTTTCTTTATAATTCTAGCTTTATCGTTGTCAGATAAGTGAAAGGTATATCGGTATTCAAAGAAAGAGTTCATTGTTTCCAGTGACATAAGCTTTAAAATATTGGTTTTAACTTTGGTGTAGTGGTTTCCAAGTCTTTTTTTGTATACTTCAAAGGATACTGAAATTACTTTGAGGACTTCATGGTCATTTTCTTGGAGGTATACTGGTGTCCACTATGCTTTTGGAGAGTTTTCAAATTTTGGGAGGCAGATATTGACAGTAGAATTAGTAGTATAGACAATATTGATATTGTTGTTTTTGTGAAAGATTATGATTAGGCATTTGTTAACATCGGTGATAAGAATGTCAAGTAAAGTGTGAGTGTGTTTGATGAGTTAACCGTTGGAAAATAAAGAAGACCCTCCAGGGTCCTTTACAGTTTTTTTTGAATAAAAATTTTTAACTTTCTTTTTTGATAATTTTATTCAGATGTGAATGCATTTCAGAAAGAGTATTAATAAAAATTTGTATAATTTTTGTTAATAATTTTAAGATATAAAATAGATAATTTGAGATATATAACTTTATCAAGTTTTATTAACTTCTTATATAATTTTTATTATTTATATTTTTATTATTTGTTTATATACTGTATATATA